GAAATACAGCCATGGTACAAATTAATTTGTTAATTAACTTATACCATGTATGGCCCAATGATTTAATACACTTATTGTGCAAACATTCAAAGTTGTCTTGCACAGACAAAAAAAAATAAATGCTTTGCTATTCATTTTTTTCAGTATGCTTTGGAAATGTATAGCATTCCTCTCACATTGTGACCTTCTTTTAGCTCTAAGCCCTGGCAAGATGAGACAATCACAGCAAGTATCTCTAACTTGGCAACTATAAGGCTCTGATTTTGAAAAATCGTCAAAAGTACCTGTCAACATGAATCTCTGGGTAGATTCCTGATACTTATTCTGGATCTGGTGGTGTTTCCTAAGTTTGTAGCTATATCTTTTCTATATGCAGAGTCTACCCTGCATGTACAAACCCATCATTTCATACCATGGATTGGTGTCTACATATTTTTAGATGATACTAGTGTATACATTTTCCAAAGCAATGAGAGACTTCATATCTATGCACATCATGTAATACAAACGTGATAATTGATTTCACTTAAATATACACAGTATTTTCTTCCTTTAGGTGAGCTGTACATGTATACTGTAGGGTCAGGAGCCGTGTTAATAGATGAAGTTAAATTAATGCAAGAGACAGAAATATTTGCTGAGCAGAAAGAATATTAAAGGGATTTATGAAGTAATCTTTGAAATCATTTTTGTAATCCTGAAGAACATAACTAGCATTTTCATGAACAAAGTTAATTGGCTGCTCTCAGTCTGTGACTGGACATTTATTCAAAGAGCTACACATCCTCTAAACGTGTACATTTCTCAAGGCAATTTGTCCTCATTCATAACTTCTGCAACACTGAGGCTCAGTTTAAAATAATAAGGTGCATAGCAAAATGGAGGTGCACCAGCAAAGACATGTAAAGATGCTTTCAAGGTTTTTGCTTCTAAACACTCCTATCAGCTTCTAAGCTTGCTGAGCATTTTAAAAGGCACTGAAAAGGTTATTTTTAAAGAAAAAAGTACCATGAACTATAATGGGGAAGCTGGTATGCTCCAACCCTAACAGGATATAACGTCCACATTATGGGATAACAGGACCACATTATGTATGAGAACTCCTTATTTACCCAGGGGGAAAGCTTGTTTGTGGTATTAGTCTGCATTTTTTATCACTTCTCTTTTATGAAACAGCTTCCCAGAAATAGTTACATTGAAACAACATAGGCAAAAAAAAGCCTATTAAAAGTACTTATTAGGCTACATAACGATTCTTATAACAGATGCACAGTATTGTATCCTAAGAAAACCTCAAAATATTTACCAAGTACTTGTTTCCAAGGAATTAAACCTACCTGCTTTCCTAAGACTGACCCAATATTCAAGGATAACCAAAATGTGTTTTCTGCTGGATCTAGAGAGACATGGCAGGAGAATGGCTTCTGTGTTTTTCTTTTTCTTTTAACTTTAATGCTAAAGCATGTAGGTGCTAAATCAGCCACAGCTGCTGCAACTTAAGTCTATCCTGAATCGGCTTTATTTTGCATCTGGCTACAGTAATTGAGAAAGGCCCTTCAGGAAGGTGGGGATTATCAATGTTGCAGCTCACTGGCCACAGCCAGACTTCTAATACATCCTTATTCTAAAACTATGGTTAGTGTGGAGGAGAGGATGGTTAATATACCCCTGTCCTCTCAGGGATTCTACCAAATGAATTTTCACTGCTGTGAATAGCCTGCAGGAATGAGACAAGAAATATCTAGCTGGGTACATGCTATACTAATATGATGCCAACTCTTTAAAGGAGGCCCCTTTTAAAGGGCAACTGAGCAGCACAGTACCTTGAACTCCCCTGAAATAATCCACAGCCTTCCATGCAGGGTTGGCAGTTCTATGCTTGCCAGCACCACAACTGAGTGAAACCTGGGTGTCATGATTGACAACAAAATGATCATGAGACACCAATGCTGGCAGAGCTAACCAAGCCTTGGCATGTATCTACCAAGGCATCTCAAGCAAGGCAAAGGATGCCATCCTCCAACTCTGCTCAGCCTTGGTGAGATCACAGCTGGAGTACTGCATCTGATTCTGGGCACCAGACTTCAAGAAGGATGTGAAGAAGCTCGAGAGTCCAGAGGAGGGCCACACACATGATTAGAGGCCTGGAGACCAAGACATATGAGGAAAGGCTGAGGCCTTGGGATTGTTCAGCCTGGAGAAGTGAAGACTCATGGGGGACTTGGTTGCAGCCTACAAGTATATCAGGGGTGTACATCAGGGTTTGGGGGAGCATCTATTTACCAAGGCTCCCCAGGGGAGGACAAGAAATAATGGGCACAAGCTAAGTGAAGATCACTTCAGGCTAGACATAAGGAAAAACTTCTTTACAAGCTGAGTGCTGAGGGTTTAGAACAGGCTCCCTACAAAGGTGGTACACTCATCCACCTTGGCGATCTTCAAAAAGCATCTTGATGCCCATCTTGCTAGGGTCGTTTGATCCCAGCAGTCTTTCCTGCCCAGGTGCAGGGGGCTGGACCCAATGATCTGTAAGGTCCCTTCCAGCCCCTAACAACTATGAAACTATGAAATGTGACAGAGTCCAACCTGAGCAAAACAAAGTGGGGGAGGGTCTTTTTTTTAGGCTTCTGTGGATGCTGTGTAGGTTTTAGCTTCCATAACAAAAGACAAGACAACATATTCTTTACTACATGAACTTCATTTATAACTATGATCGGATAACATTTTATAACTATGATCTGATAACATTTAACAATTTAACTGATGTGCAAAAGCACAAATAATTTCAACGGGGTGCACACATGGGACTTTGGTCAAATACAAAATCTAAAAAGGACCCAACTTTGATCTAAATTACAGTACTTTTGACTGGGAAAAATCCAGTGGTTCAGACAGCATCTGAACCAAACTCAAAATAGTTCACATAGCTTTTCAACCCCCAAAGCCTGTGGCAGCCTAGTGACTGGGTGTCTTCTAGTTGCAGCTAGTGAAACGAAAATGCTTCTATAATTTATGCCCAGCTTCCCACAGACAGTAAGGTCCAGTCTAATAGTTACAGATAGCTCAAGTGAGTGACCCTCTAACCTCTCCATCTGTTCTGGGGAACTAGAGTGCCATTGGCATAAACCCTATACCATGTGTTACATGTTTACTATCTGCTACTGTTTATGCTGGGTAAATTCACAGATAGCTAGTGAGGATGGCTTTAAAAGTGCCAGAGGACCAGAAATCAGCTACAAGAAAACTTTGAATTGTACCCACTGACTTCAGATAAGTTGCTTCTAACTCTGGAATAAGTGAGATCAGAATGAGGCTCTGCTGAGAATGTTATTAGTTTTGATTTGTCACAGAGAAGTAATATTTGCTCGGGTTTATTACTTTGCTCTTAAATCTGACAGCAGATCAAATTATATCCTTGGTTACAAGTGTGAAAGCCTATTAACTTTGGGTTAATGAATTTCTCAGAATTTGAGTAACAAATACATTTGCTCACTTCCTTTCAGTTGCACGGGGTTCGGCCTAAAACACAGGCAGAGCAGAAAGCTGCATCCTGATATAAAAGGAGCAGCCAAACAAAGCTGCCATGAGACAACCTGAGAAAAGTGACAGGAAGATAGATGCATCCCATGGCATGTTCTCTGATTGGCATTCAGCCCTCTTCTGTACGCACATGCAGGGAAATTTGTGATCATTCTTTCCTCTATTGAGAGTTTTAAAGCCTGGACTTGCTGCCAAGAAAGCTCCCTCTCCCACTCTCAAGAGTTTCACTCTCAAGGATGACAGTTTCACAATCCCTGAGAACTGTAGCTGTTCAGGGTGGTCACTATGATGGAGAAAAGAGGTAGGTACATTTAGTGAATACCAGAGTGGACCTTGAATTTAAAACCAGATTTTGAATTTGGTAGCCAGTTTAGTTAGCTGATGAGCATGTTGGTGAACTTGTGACAACTGGTGCTGTTCTGGAGGGTGGTTAGCATTAAGTGACAGGGTGTTTTTTCTAAAATATGCCATAATTCAGTGATGAGATGCGGACTTGACGCGATCTACTGAATGAGATTGCCTGGCCTGTGTTATGCTAGGAGTCCAGCCAGGCAATCATAATAGGCCAATGTCTCTGCTGGTATTAAGATCTATGAATTTATGTTTCATTGACTTGTTTAATTACATTTCCTGACTATCTGAGCTGGCCTTTCTGCACAGTATCTGGAACACTACAGGGGTTCTGTCAGTGTCTGGTGCTTTCCTAGGATATTAACAGTATCAGTAAGAAAAGCGACAAATGTTTTCCTATCCTACCTCCCTCCCTTCTGTTTCTGGTAATAGCATCCTCTTTCATTAAATATCACCACATGGAACAGAAAGCACCAAAGGTGGAGCAGGAAAGCAGTTGCTTATCCTGGGCTGTTTCACTAGCACTGATAAAACTGTTTCATGCACCAAGTTGCAACTGCTCCTGATATCCTTTCCAGAAGAACCAAAATGGAAGAAAAAAAAGAACAATAATCTGTAGCGACTAATTGAAACCTCCAGGGGCATTTAACACAGACATTGCTTTCCTCCTGTTCAGCTAACTGTGAGGGGAAAAATAAATACAGAAATTTAATCCCTTCAGACCATACCCATTGCAAGAATGTGAGAGGGCAACACAGAGTGGAAAATATGGCAACGAGAGAAGTAGGTGTAATAATGTGGAGAATATAATGTGGAAGCAACCAGCGCAGCAGGGAGAGGCAGATGATTGGTTGCTATGTAGTGAGCATATGCCGTTTTACTAGTTGTCCAAAAGTATTAAGCCAGGTGGCACACCATGAGGGGACACTGCTCATTAGGACAGTGATGCTCCTAATACTCCTTGTGGCCTGGCAGCCCTCACAGCCAATACACAGCAAGGGGCAGGACCATATGACAGAAAACTCTCGCAATCAATCAGTGGCAAGAGGCAAGGCCATCAGAGCCTCTCAGCCAATCAGAGGCATGAGGAGGGTGGGGGGCTGCTGCATTTGACATTTGAAAATGACTGCTGGCCATTACATCTGCCCGCAAAATTAGCCAGCAGCTGCCTTCAGTTTGGTACAGCCCTATGCATCATAATGAAAGAGAGAAAACAAAAGGACGTTCTGAGAAGAAGGAACCCCTTTATCCTATTGAACACTGGAAGCCATAGGACACTGGAAGTGAAAGGATAAAACCAGCATGTTCCCAGTTAAAACAAAAAGTGCTACATCTGATACAATTTAGCTTTCTTTGTTTGGAAGCAACTCAAAAGGGCAAAAAGAAATCACATATGATTCTCCAATGTTGTATATATCCTAGAATGAAAATGACACTTTTCATAAAGCAGTTGATGACCCATATCATAGTTGCTTAAGTAGTTGTAGCAATCAGTTAGACTTGTAACCATCATTTATCCATGCAAGAACAAACATTTCTATGATGAAACAGCATAGCTAAACTCAAGTTATTGCTTTGAGTTTCCAATACTTTTAAACAAACGAGAAGACTTCTAAAAAGTGAAATATATGCACTGGAAACAATAACATCATAGATTAGAAGAGATTGCATTGAAACATTTGAACAAGCCAACGTACCCTTCTATGAATCTCATACCTCATTGTCATCACTTTGGAAAGATCTGGAATATAAAGTTGAAAGATGTCGTTAAGCAGCAAATATAATTGTTTTCTGCAAAGAGCATATAACCAAACTCTGTCTCCCACCCACACCAACAGTGGTAGAAATACCAACCCCTGTAAGTACCTCTCTAATTATTTTTCCAATTGTGGCAGGCTTGCTGGCAGCAGCTTGAAAGGGCTTAGAATAATTGGTGGAGCATTTCCCACCAATCAGGGAAGGCCAGGGGAGAGCCTTTCCCTGCCCCTACCCAGGGGCGAGGGGAAAAGATGGACCAGAGAAGGGACTAACCCCACCTCTCTCTGATTGGTCCATCTTCAATCTAGGGGCAGAACCTCCAGAAAGGATAAAAAGGCAGCATGCCAGGCACATGGGTGGCTTTGACAAGAGATAACAAAGAAGGCTGAGAAGAAATGGCTGAGCTGACCAGCAGGGTGGAACAGTTGTCCCAGAAGCACTCAGAAGATGTCTTGTCAGATAGGGAGCGGCAAGCAGCTGTGTCCCCAACCCTGCCACAAAGGGCGCATGGCAATGGTGAACAGGTCAGTGCATGGAGGGATCTGGAGCAGGCTGAGATCCCAGTGCTGTATGAGGCCGCATGGGTCTCCAACCCCTGCACGGGGCAGGGCAGATGGCGCATGGATTGGTGCATGGAGGCTCCAGGAGTGGGCGCGGACCCCTGCACTGCACACGGCAGCTCAGGTCCCCAACCCCTGCACAAGGCAGGAGGCAGATGGTGCACAGGGCCAAGAGTGGGCTGAAGGCAGAAAGGGCCCTGAAGCAGCTGAGGGCCACCTGCAGAGGGAGGACATGCTTTGCCCTGGGAGATGAATGCAGTCTCACCAGGCTGCAGAGGAGTCATGAGTTGCCAGGTAAGGGGATTCCTATAGGGGAGAAAGGCCCTCCCTTCAGTGGTCTGCAGCTGTGGGGGAGCCCCCTGAGGGAAGGAGGGTTCCTGGGTTGAGGACCAGCCAACTGGGTGATTCAAGCAGGGGTTAAGGGTGTCCCTTAGGGTATCAGGGTATTTCTTCTCTCCTTCCCCTCCTCCCTACCAGGGGTTGTTCCTATCGGGTTCAAGCTGTTGCATCTCTGTAGTCTGCTATTTCTTGCTTTTCTTTGAGATCCTGTGCCTTATTGTTTGTAAACCCTGAGTCTTATGATTTGTAAACCTTGCGCCTTATGATTGTATAGGAATATGCATATTTTTGTGGAAACCTATTATGAATATTTAATTACCAATTTGCCACTGCTAGCCCTTTTACTATTCATTACCTAAATCCAGTCCCACTGTCATCCTTTCGGGCCCCTTCCCTCCTGATCCATGATGGTGCTGAGTGGGGTGGTAGGGCCTGGGGATCCAATCCAGTGGGCATCAGAGGGTAGGCCTCTGAGAGTGGGT